TTTTTTAATTCTGTATAGTATGTAAGATGTGGCTTATCTTCATAGATGCCTTTATTAGCTCTTTTCTGAGGTGGCTTAAATATATAACATCTACAATTCGCCAATTTACCTAATGTAAGTAAAAGCACAAGAACCAGGGGTCATGAAAAACAGCACTGCTTATCCATTGGTAATATTTACAAATAACAGGCCCTTTGCATCAAGGTCTGTAGAAAATATAGACTATAAAAAACCTGATATTGAGAATGAGTTGACTCCTTGAGACTGGGGCTTTCTCTCCTTCATCTCTGTTTTCCCTGCAGTGACTTTCACAAAGAAAGGTCCTCCATGATTTCAACAAAATCCAGCTGGATCAAGGAATTATCAAGGCCTGAGAATTGTAGATACCATCAGATTCTAATTACCTACAATGATAGAAAAGAGGCATAAAAATGACACGACACCCACAAGAACTCACACCTCATTTAAACAAAACATACTTGTATAAAAACTAATAAATTAACATGACTTCATTTGGTTTCCCTTTATCAATACCTTCTAGTAGAGGGGATAAAAACTGGGAAGATGAATAAGCTGTAAATTGGCTACCAGCACAAAATGAACCGATTTCCTAGGTCTGAAATGTCATCTTTAAAGCAATATTTTATTTTGGCTTATTCTAGGGATAGCACTTCTTTGGCTAGCATTTGCTGGAATTTGATAATTGATGCTTCTGGTTTTCTTTGTACGTGAACTTAGAGAGGAATACGTTGTAGAATCAAAGCTTGTGGCAGGGCCAGCCCTAGATGGGCTGGGATGTGGAGGATGCCACTGTAGGAATGTTCTGACTATGTCTTTGGTGTCTTAATCAGCTGGCATGAGAATTAAGTTCCTTGAGGTCAGAAAACGTCTATACAGCTCTATCTTCTTTGCCTAGCACAGTACCTAGAAGTGAAATTCTTGTCTGTAGACCTAGTCCTTTCAGAATTAGCAGAGATAATTGTTGTCTCAGTGGATAGAGGGAGCCTTCCAGAGGATGGAGCAAGAAAGCGCTCTTCTTCCCATTATTATCTTACATGAATCTTACAAAAACTAGCTGCCACTAAATACCATCTCTCCCTGCAGAAGCATGTGTGTTTGGGCCCTCAGGAAGCGCAGTGAGAGACAGCTACTTGCCACATGTTCTAGTTTAAATTTCTGGTGAGCAAATACTTGCTCTCCAATACCCAAACCCTAACACTTGGGAAAACAGTTTAGATCTCAGAGCACGGTTTTGTTGTTCTTTTTTTTGCTGCTGCTGTTGTTTTTCCTTCAGATTTGTATGCTGTGTTCATTGGATCTTCTTTGTAGATTTCCAGGACAACTCTATATAAGGCACATCTTGCTTGCCCAAGTTAGGAAAACACAACTAAGCTCATGAACCAAGTTCCCGCTACATTCCTGCTATATGCAAGGAACTCAGCAGGGAGCTTCGTTGATGAGGAAAAAATGAGTGGCTTCTTGCATGGCATTGGAGTAAAGATTGCAGCAGGCACACAACAGGCGGTATTGCACTTTATGTTCAGTGGCTACTTCCTCTAAAAGCCCTTCCTTTTCCACCACATTTTTGGGAAGATTTTTCTTCCAACCTACAATCATTTGACAGAACTGCAATCTGTAAGAGTTTCATTGTGCTCTGCTATTTCCCCGTTTTTCCCTTTTGTTTTGCTTTCTTTCATTCGAGCTATGACTATGTTCCATGACTCCAGCATGAGCTCTTGCAGAGCCTTGAAAACTGTTTTTCAACTCTTCCCTTTAGGCTGTGTCAAACTAACTTCCTCCTTATTAAAACAAAACCTAACAAATCTGAAAAAAAAAAAAAAAAATCTCCTACAAGCTTGTAGTAATAGGTACTCCTTAGCATGATTCACCATACCAGGATGTTGAAATTTAATTATGTTATTCCCACCATTGTTTTATTGTCCAAACCACTAGCTTTCTGAATGTCCTGCTTTGTTTTCTTAGATAAACTATTGCAAATAAGAATTGATCAACATTAAGAAACTCCTTTTCAAATCATGCAAAGTTATATGACTTAACTGATTGCTC